GCTAATGGACAAGCTAAACTTTATCCTGCATAGTGGGAGGTCGATAAGGTTAGTATTTATTTTTTTAAAATATTTTAAAGGTGTTCATAAATAAGTGCGCAATTTGAATTATTACTTATGATTGCAGGTGTTTATCCCTGTTTTGGAACGTACTCATTGGCTTCTCGTCGAGCTTCAGCTCCCATCCCTGAAGACAATAGTATATGACAGCATGATAAATTACATATCATTGTCTGATTTGAGAGATATTATTAAGGGATGGAGCTCTCATTTGGCTAAATTCTTAGATGCGATTAATTATTGGACTTATTATGGAAACAAGAAGCCAAAGAAGTTTAATGTTACAGTTATCAGAGACGAGACCGCGCCACAACAAATGTCGGAAGCCAGAGGGGATTGTGGTCCTCTCGTATGCATGTGCTTGGAGCGTTTGACGACAGGAAGTACACAGTTTCTACCTCCCACCGATAGAGATAGAGGTACAGTAGGCTTGTGGTTTCGGCATTTTATGGCTAGAGCGATATATGCGAGACGTTGCCTACCTGCATCCGCATTATGAAAGTGTCCATAAATAATTTTTCAAATACAAGTGTTGTTAAGTACCTAGAATTCAATAATATTTTGTTGTTTGTTTGTTTTAGATGTGTAGAAAGTGTTATTTGAGCAAATGTTTGGTTTCTGCAGGTTAATACTGAAGTGAGTTGCGTGAAATTGATGTATGGGTGCATAAACAACTGTCTGGGGTACACTTTTTTTTATTGTTTAATTGATTCTTAAAAGTCTGATTTGTTTAATTGATGAGGAAAATAAGAATTATTATCATTTTTTGCTTGTTTAATTGATTTATAAAAATTGATTTGTAAAAGTTGATTTATTTAATATTGATGTGTAAATAATTCTTATTTGTGCTTGTTTAATTGATTGAAATGTAAAAGTTGATTTGTTGATTTCAATCTGCATCATATTGAAGGCAAAAGATCTGTTGGAGGTACACTTTCGCAATGCTAAACTCAAAATTGCAATGCGAAAGCCAAAATCGCAACGCGGAAGTCAATTCGCGTTGCGATAGTCTAATACGCTTTGCGATTTTCTCGTTGCGATAGTCAAATTCGCGTTGCGATTTTCTCGTTGTGATAGTCAAATACCCATTGCGATAATCAAATTCGCGTTGCGATAGTCAAATTCGCATTGCGATAGACAAATTCGCGTTGCGATTTTTGCGTTGCGATAGTCATATTCGTGTTGCGATAGTCAAATTCGCGTTGCAATTTTTGAGTTGCGATAATCAAATTCGCGTTGCGATAGTCAAATTCGCGTTGCGATATTCAAATGAATGTGTAATAAGTGATAACAACTGAACAGATCATAGCAATGTTCAAACTCAAGTTACTATACATGCCTAACTGAAAAATAAAAGTTTACACATAATACAACGTTTGCATTTAAAATCACCTAAGTTAATAGTCCCAAAAGGTGAAGCCGGTTGTGATTGGGATTTTGATTTTGATTTTGATTGCGATTTTGATTGCCTTTTTCTTGACACCATATGAGCTTTGGATTTTGATGAGGATCCATATTTTGGTAGAGGAAAAGATTGTGATGGCACTGGTGATCCACATGTCAACCTTGTATGACCACTTTCCTTGCACCGACTACATGTCGATCTCTTATTCTCTTCACCCTTAGACGGTATACGATCGTGACTTTTTGGTCAGTAGCCTTGTCCATGGCTGGTGGCAAAACTGTTGTAAGTCATGTGGTATGTCCCACTCAGAAGGATGTGGAATAGGGTAGATAATCTCGGCATAAGTCTGTCGATATACTTCTGTAGTGTAGCAATCCATAGCGTATGCGCTTGAATCATCTTGGTTTAGATGAAGAGAAACTTTTATAACATGCCCACACGGATAACCAGATGTTTGTCATTTCATACAACTACACGTCTTTGCATTTAGATCGACAAGCCCATTTAAGTTATTATCCAGTACTTCAAACAAAGTGTTTGAACATGGTTCAACTCTCCATGACGTTGACTTCACAACACGTTTCATTATCTTTTTTTCAGTCCATGGTGTAACATGATGTTCCAATGTTCCTATAAATTTAAATAAATAATACTTAGTAAAATATATGATAAGTTACGAATTTAAAGAAATAATACGGCATGGTTTCTTTTCTTGTAGTACCACTGTTGAATAGAGGCTCGAAAAAACTCCATAACATAGTAATGGGTAATTTCCGGAATGACGACTTAGAGCGTTGATTGATTCTGCACTATTAGACGTCATGAAACCATATCTTGCTCCAAGTTGATGTACTCTTGACTATCTTTCAAACCCGACATCTTCTAGTGTTTGAGCACACTGAGGCAAAACACGTCTTAAACAATTTATATGCTTATTAAAATCCACTTCCGATAAGTTTACAGCCTTCCAGTATGTCCATTTGTGATTTTTTATACCAACAGACCTTGATTTTAGATTTCTATATAAATGAACACCACAAAGTCCATGAAAAGCATCTGGGAAACACCTTCTAACAGCGTTGTCAATTGAGTTTGCCCTATCGGATATGATTGTCAGATTGCTAATAAGACCTATGCAATCCCTAAGATGCCCCATAAACCATATCCATGAATCAGAGGTTTCAGATTTGCCAACCCCGTAAGCTATTGGCAGTATCCCATTGTTAGCATCCATGGCTACTGCTAATAAGTTTACTCCAAGGTCAACCTTTTAAATGTGCTCCGTCAACTATAATAACTGGGCGCATGCAAGTAATAAATGAACGAATCTAAAATCATATACACAAGAAATATAATCATTTAAATGTGAAATGCATGTAACTAACAAAAATGAGTCAACAAAATTATATTGATTTACTAACCGCAGCACCAATGGCGATAAACAGCAACTCAAAGCGTCCATCTCTATCTTTTGATATGAGTTACCGACCCATGATTTTTCAGCTTTAAATTGTGACAATAAGCCGGCAGTTGGTCAAACGATGCTTCTGGCGACCCCCTCAACAATTCCAAGGCATAACATTTGGCTCTCCAAGCTTGAGAATATGAGATACTAATCTTGAACCGAGCATTCATGTCAGTCATAATTTCATGTCCCGATATACCCTGCCATTCAAAAACATTAACTCAGTCAGAAACCACCCAATACATTTTTGTTTGCTGTCTATGGTGAGGAAAAACTTGGGTTCTTGAACATGTATGTTTATCAATAAAAGTCCTAACTTGAAACATTTCGCAATCTTTTATCCTCTTTGCAATCATACGCCACGTACAGTTTTTGTCAATCATACACCTTGTTTCGAAACGATCTTTGCTTGATTTGTTAACTTTTAGTTGATAGCCATCTTCCACACATTTCGTATACAAAGCTATCTTCAAGTCTTACTTTGTATCAAAACAATCATCTTTCTTGATACGAATAATTTTTGTGTAACAATCAACTGTTATTTTTACCAACTCTTCTTCCGGTATCTGAAGTAATTCTGGCATATTCCAGTTATACTCCTATGGCATTTTCTTCGGGGACTTTTCTTCGGGGATTTCTTCTTCTTCTTTTTCTTTTTCAGGGTTATATAAATTACAGAATGGATGTTCAACATGTTCATTCACATCGTAACTTCATCCTCATTATCATCAACAACATCTTCCTCGGCAGCGGGTTTCATCAAAATTCGGGTATTGATCAATATCAAAATCATTACACGCAGGGTCTGTTTCTTCTTCTGAAACATCATCAAAATCCGAGTATTTACCAAGATCAAAGTCCGGGTATTGACCAAGATCAAATTTCGAATACCGACTAGTACTTACAATTTTTTCTATTGGCTCATCATCGTCTAACTGGTTAATACGAAAAACCGGAATTTGGTGCTGAAAGTTGATTGGGATTGGATTAGGGAAAGGTTGTGTGTTTTGAGATTATGTTTGATATTGGAAATGTGATGAACAAAATTTGCTTGGTGATGAAACCATTAAATTTTGAGTACCATAAACTGGGGTTGAAAACTTAGTTGATTACTACCCGGTACTGACCCAACTTCACTACTTTTAGGTTCAACAACATACAATGTAACATCATCTTGCGAAACACTAATGTAAGCAATAAATCGTTCAACATCTTCATTGTCGGTTAACAAATAAACTTTACATTTTCTCTGATAAGATAGCCTAAATCCACTTAAGGGCTCTAAATTCAATTTATTTACAACACGTAACATTAGAGTTTCATAAGTTAACTTTTTTAATGACAGTTTTAGTTGAAGATTCATGGGTAAAGACATATATTGTAAAACACCATTAACATTCTCCCATGACCCTCCAAAACACAAATCTATCTAAACATGATCAACATTAGATGATTTCATTATTATAAATTAATTTACTAAACAAACGAGCTGCGAAACTAAAACATGTTGCCGGATGGGGAAGGATGTCGTTGGATATAGGAACGGATGTCGTCGGAGAGAGTGATAGATGGAGATGAAATGAGTTGCGATTTAGGGATTTAGGTTATGAGTTGCTTCTGCTGCGTAGTTATATACCCAAAACATTTGTGTTGCGAAACTAAAACTTGTTGCGAATTTGAAATTCAGTATTGCGACAGTCAGAATCGCGTTGCGATAGTTAGAATCGCGTTGCGATAGTTAGAATCGCATTGCGATAGTCATAATCGCATTGCGATTTACATATTCGCATTGCAATTTACATATTCGCATTGCGATAGTCGGAAAATCGCAACGCGAATTTGAAAAATCGCAATGCGATAGTCAGAATCGCGTTGCGAATCTGGAAACTGATTTGCGATACCGGAGATCGCGTTGCGAATTATCGATCGCATTGCGATTTATTTGGTCATTTTGACAAATTCAAAAAAAATTGATTAAAATCATATATTATAAAGAATTTTTAGTCATTGACTTTATTTTCTTTATTAAAAATTATGTATCATCCGAATAAGATAAAAACAAGAGGTTTTTCTAAAATCTCCCCGTCGCCAAATACGCCTCTCACCACCGCTCTGTGGCGGTTTCATCTTCTATTTCCTCCTGTTTATTCCCACTCACCTCTATTCTGCGGACCTCTCCTCGTCCTCCAGTTCATCGCCTGACCCCCCTCTTGCCTTCCAGTTTCCAACAGATCAGAAATTTCAACAAGGTAGTCTTTCAAACCCTAAACTTTATTTGAACATTGATTTCTACTCGACTCGTGCGGCTTATGGTTCGTTTTGTGTTATCTACTCCCCGCCTTTTTGAAAAGCGAGAGAGAACAATATGGTTTGCAAGTGGAAATATTGTCATTTAACATTCTTAAATTTGGATGAGATTGGTTCAATTTTATTAGGTGGTTAAGAGTTGTAACTAAGTAAATTAAAAACTATAGGTTGAAGCTTATATCCATCCTTCAAAAGCTTCAGAATCTTATGCACAAAAGAAACGATTTGTTTTTTCGATTTTGCTAGGTGATATCATTATTAAGAAGTTTGCACGTTCCTTCTTGATAAATGGATGAATCTGAGAAAAGAAAGGAAAGGTTGAAAGCAATGCTCATGGAAGCTGAAGTGTCTAATGACGTCGAGACTTCTGCAATGCCTGGTTGCCTTTCGAATCCATTGATCGAGACACCATCGACTATGCAGGATGACTTTGGAGAAGCTCCACGTTTCGACTACTATGACCCTATGGAAGCTTTTTCTGCTAACAAGAAGAGGGGCAACATTCATAACCAGACTGTGCAACAATCTTTTACATCGCCTACTAACAGTGGTTGGCACGCACCGTCCCATCCCGGTACTCTTTTTGCTACTAGTTTTTTCTGTGTAAACATGATATTGTTATTGATGCATGCAATAATATTTGATTGTGCTACTACTAAGCTGATAATTTGTGAATGAGTTATTGATTAAAACTAGTTGTATGAATTTCTCTAATTTTGCAATTAACATATTGGTGGTGTTCTTTTGTTTTTCTAGTTGATCGCCCTTCTATTCTGGTTTGACAGGACCAAGGAACTTCGATAGGGATTTCCCTGTCCATCAGATGCAAAGCCAATTTTTGCATGCTCAAGGTGTATACAACCATGGTCCATACAACCCAAGAATAAGAAGTCCTTAACTCATGCATCAAGGCCAATCTGGTGCTTGGAATGGATCACAGGCAATTGATCATTATAACTTAGTTCTGATGGAACACCGAGAGGAATGTTTGGTAATCCTCCCAGGCATCCTGGAACTTCTCAAAGGGTCTGGAATCCTTCTAATACATCAACTTATGGTAATTTGCCCGGTTCTGGCATTTCTCTAGCGGATGGACCTAGCGTCAACCACAGACAGCCAGGCCTCAAAGTTGGTAACAGACCAATCCTTGATCAAGGATCTGGAGGTAATCATTATTTCAGTCCAGGAATAGGCAGGAGTCGTGGATACAGTGGGAGCAGCACTCCTGGTTTAGGAAGAAGTCGGACGAGGACAAGGCTTTGTGGTCGTAGCTCAGCATCAAACAGGATATTAGGGCCAGAGAGTTATTTTGATGAATCCATGTTGGAAGATCCTTGGCAGCATTTACAACCTATTCCATGGAAAGGACAAGAAGCTGGAATGGATAGTTTGAACACTCTGGGCACGTCAAATTCCTGGCTTCCGAAATCCATTGGCCAAAAGAAGGCAAAAGTTTCAGAGGCTTCTTCAAACAAGTTTAACTCTCAACAAAGTCTTGCTGAGTACCTTGCAGCTTCATTCAACAAAGCTGTTGAGGACACACAAAATGAATGAAAGTTGCCCACATCTCCAAGAACACTCACAATTGGCTTGAAATGAGAAGAGATATCTTGTGGCTACTTGATGAGATTTGCGTTTCTCCCATTCTCATTAATCTCACCAGGTATAGATCACAATTCGGTTCGACATGATTTTAACGTAGAAAATAAAGAAATAGTTCACGGGAAGTAACTCAGTCAACAATATGTTTATTATGAAACATCATCCAATGTAGGAACTCACACAATCAAAGTCATTTAGGCCTTTCCATCCCATCCTCATAGAACGCTTTTAGGTATTCCTCCATGAACTTATACCTTTTCTCGGCCCTTCTTTGCCCTGCCTTAGTTTTCATCAACTCGAATAATATAAGTATTAAAGATAAAATTATTTAATATCGAGTGAACGAGAGTTATATTTATACTTACCTATTGATTTGTCAAAAAAAATTAATACGAACATATATTTAATATCAAGTGAACAAGTTTAACTCTCAACAAAGACGTGCTGAGTACCTTGCAACTTCATTCAACAAAGCTGTTGAGGACACACAATGAATGAAAGTTGCCCATCTCCAAGAACACCCACAATTGGCTTGAAATGAGAAGAGATCTGTGTGGCTACTTGATGAGATTTGCGTTTCTCCCGTTCTCATTAATCTCACCAGGCTTATCTTCGAGATTCAAATTCGAAGATTTCTAGATGAACCCAAGATTATTTTCATCGAGGACAAGCAAAGATTTTGGCATTTGAACTGGGTCTGGGATCTCACTCATTTTTGTCTGAATCATGTGACTATAAGCATTTCATTTTTGGCGTTCAGAGCTTGTTCTAGGATGGCTGACTATACTCATGACATCACTCCTAGAGTGACAACTTATGAAGATCATATATGGTGGGTTTTTTCATAGGCTATATTGCAGGTAGATGGTGTTCAGTTTACTCGAGATTTATGCCAAAATGCTTGGTTTTTCACTTGGTTTCTCGTTTGAGAATCACTTTTGAACTATTGTTATTTTAATTTTACTTGTCTTTGACTCTTCACCAACGAATTGGTCGTTACAAGTTTTTTCTGTTGGTAAAATTCTTGTCATGCTTGAAAAATCAGAATTGAGATCATGAAAATACACATGGAAAGCTCAACTTGTAAAATTCTTTTCTCACGACACTTTCCTTTTGTTTTGGAATTACACAAACTAATTTTATTGAATGTAACGTATCTTACTATATATGTAACCCTTATGGGCTGTATTATCTTTTTTATTGCCACGTAACAAAGTAGATGAAACAAAATCAATTTAGCTCGTAATATTTTTTTTAGTTTTAATTCAATTATTCGGTTTTGATTTACAGTGATTATTGAATAAAATCTCATTTTGTTTCGAAAATGAAATTTTAAATTTAAATTTATAAATATCAATACAAATTGTACGTAATGCAAATATGATAAAAGTATTTGAATGTGATAAAAGTTACATAAAATTAATTATAAATGTGTAAACTTTTATATAAAACTTCTTCATATAGGTTTGATTGGACCCATGCAAATGACATTTTTTTATTGTTTCTTACTGTTAAATTTTGGGACGTAATAATTTATTATAAGGCTAGGAAATACCTAACGAAAATGTTAATTTTGTTTTAACATTTCCGTGGAGCGCTACCTAAAATGTTAATTTTGTTACCTAAAATGTTATCTTTTTAACGTTTCCTGTTGCAACCGGAAATGTTATGGAGAAAGTAACATTTTAGGTACGATATTAATATTTTATGTAGCGTTCTACTGGAAATGTTAAAACAATATTAACATTACCAGTTACGCCTTTCCTTAGCCTTATATTAAGTTGCTCTAAAATTTTCGGGTCAAAATCAAACACTTTTAAGAAATTAAGTAAAATATAATAAACGAAAAATCTGACATCGATGGTATGATTTTAAAAAGTTTATATGAAAGAAATTGAAATGGTGATTTGTAATTTTGGAATGATCTTAGAATCCCACATAATTATCAACGCTAAAATCAAACCAAATATAAAGAACCTATACCAACAAGACCTGAGGAGATCTTGTTCCACCAGTCAACTAGTGATCATTCATACTTTAGAAAGTTCTGATAATTATAATTCATAACATATGGATGAGAATAAATTTGATTCGTTGGTTATGAGTTGTATATCTATTTCAATTTGAGTAATAATCGTTATCAATAAACAAGTTAATAGTTCATCTATGTTTTTTTTATTGGAGAATAAGGAAGAGTGTTTTCCCGAAGAATGTGACAATTCGAGAGAGAAGAATAAGTTCTCTTTTCGGTTTTAACATAAAATATCAAATCGAATTTCAGATTATATAGACTCTTACACCATAATCAAACTAAGTACGAGTGAAATACCTAGGGTCCGTTTGGTGTTATTTTCATTTAATTTTATTAGAAAATAGAAAATGTGTTTGGTTGTGAAATTAAAAATGATTCTTGGAAATTAAAACAAAATAAATGAAAATATGAAGACATAAAAAAAAAAGAAGAAGATGTTTTCGCTCTTTTCATTAAAATTGTTTTGAAAATTTGAAAAACAAGGAAATGATATCTTGGTTTTTAACTTAACTTATACAAGTTTAAATCATTCTAACAATAATTTTTTTTTTTGATTTAATGGTATTTGAAACTCTCAAACTTTGTAAAAACAATATGGTCTCTAACTTTTTACATTCAATGTAGTCCTTAAATTAATTTTTTAATAATTTATTTTTGTAGTATTTGTATTTAATGTATTGAATATCTTAATAGTTGTTTATATTTGTAATCTAAATAAATCTTTAATTTTTTTAAAAAAATTAAAGAAGTCCTCAAACTTTCTAAAATATAAATTAAGTTCATCTACCACATCATCGTCCATCGAGTGCAGTAACACAATATCGTGACTATCACATCAATATTGTAGATTGTCATGTAAGTTTGTGAACTGTCATAAATATCGTGACAGTCAATGTTTGATTCCGCTATTTAAAGTGATAGATTATTTTTTCGCTCCTAATTGATTTAAGAAGGATTCATGCTTGGGTTTTAGGGTTTTATTTGTGTGGTTTATTCTATACTTTCGTCTGTGGAAAAAAAATGGCTGCCGAGACCGACAAAGAGATCGAAGAGATCCTCACCGCTCATCTCGAACAACAAAAAATGGATGTAACCTTTTATTTTCCACCCTTTCATTTTGATTTCTTCCGTTTTTTTATTATTGATTTTCGTTCTCTCTCCTTTTGGGGTTCACAGTCCGAGCAACCTGTAGTTGAAGATGAGGACGACGAAGAAGACGGCGAAGAGGATGACGACAATGATGAATGATGCCGACTGTAAATTTTCTATCCAGTGATATCTTGCTATTGTTAAAAAAATTTGATTTAGTGAAATATATGTTAGCATTGGTTAAATTCTGTTTTACTTCATTGTTATTTTAATTAATTCAATTTGATATGTAAGCAAATTTCAGATGCTTAGATAAGCTAGCTGGATCAGTGGTCACTGGCTTCTGCAACTTGATTTTTGATTATGCACCAACTTCACTTACTCGTCAAGTTGATCTCGAGGATTTCAACTAGTGCGTTTAGCTCAATTCTTGTGTTTCAGTATTTGGTTTTAGCTTTTTGAATCGTGAATTTTGCTCCAGCTTCAGATGAAGCTTTTACTGATTTAATTTGGATCGGATCAATTACATTCCTGCATTTGGACCATATTATATAGTGCTACCGATATGAATCATAACCCGTAGAACTGCATGTCTAGTTGTCCCCTCCTTTATTTTACGCATGGGTTGATACAAATGAGCTCTATGGTAGTTTCTTAAATTGTTTTTTTATGACTTTAGATATTGTCTCATGTCCTCGATGACAATATTGAATTGTCAATGCATAAACTTCTTAGTCTGTTATTTGTATACCACATAGCGATTTCATTTGTACCATCTACATCTGTTATTTACCAATTAATGCAATGAATGTTCCGCGGATGGCTGTTAAAATATTGAAAAGCATGTTAATGGAGAACTTTTCTTTATATAAATGAGTGATGCATTGTTCGGAGGTTCATTTATTTGGTCCTATTGTATGTACTGTCAGGCCATCTTGATGGAAGGAACTGGTAGGTCAAGCAAAGCAGAAGCGAAAGAAGAGTCGCAAAGCTATGTTGAAGCTCGGATGAAACCAATTCCAGGTGTATCCGAGTCACCGTCAAGAAGAGCAAAAATGTCAGTCCCCTTTCCATATTAACCATTCATTACTTCCCTGCCTCGTATGATGATAACGATTTTACCATTTGATTCAGGGTAAACTACCCAAATAGTCATTTAACTACGGACCATTGAACTATTAAATGTTATCAATCAAATTGTTTAATTAAGTAAATTTAAATAATTATATTTGCTTATCACTATTACATATTTATTACTTAATTGTTATTTTGTTATAATTAATTTAATCTACCGATATATTGATATGAGAAAAGAAGAACGAGTGCTGAGCAAAACTCGATTCGACACAAAAAACCGATTTTTTTCAATTCGAATTGACTTTGAGTACAATTTCATAAACTCGATTCGACTCGAAAAAATTTTATGTTCAAATCGAGTTGTAAAATACAACTTGAATAACTCGAAATTTTTAGTAATTAGTGGATTTATTTTCAAGTTTGAGTCGATTCTTTCGACTTTGTATTAGATATGCATATTACATATGAAAAAAATATAAAGAAATATATTTGTATCGTTATAGAAAGTCACTTAAATTAGAATAAAATAATATTATACTATTAAAAATATTTACAATTAAAATTAAAAAGAAACTCAAAAAATTGACTCGACTCGAATTTTATAAACTCAATTTGATTCGAAAAAAATTTCAAGTCAATTCCGAGTTGTAAAATATGACTCGTCAACTTGAATAACTCAAATTTTTTGACTCGACTTGATCGAGCGCTCACTTCTACTAAGGAGAAACTCCTTAAAAGTAAGATTAAAAAAGAT